GAGAGTACACTCTATTCCTCTCTCCCCTCCCTCAGGATTAGTTTCTGAGCATGAGCAGATATGCAGGCCAAAAGTACGCATGCGTTACCGGATGTCCGTTATTTACGGACATCCGGTAATGGCTGCTACCAGAGCCCTCCGTTTCTCCGACCACGTGACCAAAAGAAACGGAGGCTCTGGGGACGAGAATGCGCCTTACGAGGCTGCTTCTAAGCCTTGCGACGATCACAAATTGAAAAATAAAATGAAAAGCGTTTTTGAAACTTTAATGCAATTTGTTACATCTCTTTTGTTTGTAACCATTAATATTACTTACAAGACGAAACCTGTATTACGTCACTAAAAGCTCATGTATCTGTAGGAAAATTCTCGATTGTGATTGATTCTCTTCGCGCGCCTACTTGTTACGTAATTGGTCTATCATCACGTGGGTGTCAAATTACAGGTATCCAGTTACAGTTTAGCGAGCCGCAATTGAATACTTCTCGCTGTTCTATGAAGTACAGTGGAACCTCGTTAATCCGGTCATCAATGGGCTACAACAATTGGTTGTATTAACGGGGGTGGTGGTGNGGGGGTGGAGTCAAGTAAAAGGGGTTCTTCAAATAAGAAAATGACTGACTGAGCTTTTGTTCGGACCAGGATAAAGTCGCCGTAATAACGAGGTGGTCGTAAGGCGGGGTTCCACTGTACATGTAAATTTTCATGTGAAAAGAAGAAATCTTATTTACGCACCTGCCAGTAGTTGAATTGACACTAGACAGCACCTGAGCTAATGGTTATAATTTCACGGAATCTCTTTGGGTGTATTGAATGCCTAATTGGGAATTGTAGAAAATCCGAGTTCTCGCTATGAACTCTAGAATAATTTCATTGGAGGCTAGAGCGCAAAAGGTGTCATTATTATATTTCAAATGCAAGTGAATGACTTATGTTCTTCAGAGTTTGCTTTACAAAGATCCGCCTCTAGCCACAACAGAACTACCGTTTTGGTGAAACTGGAGGCAAAGGATTGCAGGAAACGATTCATCCCTCCCCTGACTTTGGTCTTTTCTGTCTCGCGGTTCCTCGGATCTCACAGAAGAAATTCTGCCCGAAGCATTTTTTGCTTAGCTTTTTGAAAAACGTTTTTGGCTAGTAACATGTGAATGTTTGTCTGAAAAAAAACGATTTTTATTTACTGACTGTCTGACTTAAAGCAGCTGAGCTAATTCTCTATTTTCCAATTGCCCATAATTCATTCTGTTTGCCCCCCAAATTTTGCATAAACTATTGTTGTGAAATGCTCTTGGGAATATGCAGACCTCCCAAGAGTATTTCATAACAATAGTTTATGCAAAATTTGGAGGGCAAACAGAGTGAATAATGGGCAATTAGAAAATAGAGAATGGTTGTCGTTTAACCATGTACATTGTGTACATTGAATGCCTAAATGGGAATGGGATAAAATCCGCTAAGGGGTAGACCATGTGACATTTGAGAGGCAGGGGTGGGGTGGGGTGGGCGGGCGTGATTCACTTTTTTTCTCGAGAAGTATGTATGCATGATATTAGTTTTTCTGCATGTAACATTTTTTTTCGGCACTGGTCGTGTGTATGAATTTTTTTGTGCAAGTATACTTGAAGGTATTTGTTTTTGATCAAAGTCAGCCACCCCCCCCCCCTCAAAGTTCAAATGGGACACCCCTGACACTAACGGTAACTAGTTTGAATTCATTGTTGACTAGAGTGTGAAAGATATCAGGCATAAGCACTTAAAAGGTTTCCTTCTTTTATATGATTGCACGATATTAAACCTTTTTTATTATAGTAGAGTGTTCGTTACTTTTTCTCTACTCTTAATTTCACCCCATTATTTCCTTATTTTAATTTACGTTTTTCTCTACGCGACCCCAGAAACTTAAAGTTTTAAAGATTTAAAATGTTAGCAAAAAATATTAGTTTCTTTTGAAACAAAAACTAACGATAAAAATTCACGACGTTTCCACCTCTCCGCTGCGAGTGACAAATATATAAAACTAGCATAAATATGTTCATAACAGTACAAAATTTTATTGCATTCTACCGTTCGTGACATTCAATTTTAACTCATCAAGAAAAGCTTAAAATTAAAAAATAATTCATCGTTTTCAAGAAAATGACGGAAATCACACACAAGATCGTCATGTATTGGGTTTGTAGATACGATAGGGATAATATTCACAGAATCATCGGTTATGCCCAAACATCATTATGAATATGATGAAAACGAGATTTAAGGTGTATATTTTCGTTAAAACGGCCGGAATTTTTCAGATTCACAGATATTTTGGCTTTAAAAGTTTTTGATTTGCACAACAACGTAAGGTGAGAAATGATCGGCACCGTGTCACCCTTGAACCTACAGATTAAAAGAACGTTTACATTTGTCCTAAAAGCAGAACAATCTTTAATAAATTATACAGATGAGGAAGGGAGTTTTGAGAATTTTCCTGTCAGTTTTGTTCCTAATGGGACATTTTAATCAATGATTTCCACAACAACAGTAACAAAAATAAAATTATCAGCCAACTTTAGTACCTTGCAGCTGGATTGGACGGAGCAATATTGCTAATGAACCTGAGCATAAACAATCATGCAATAAAGTTGGATATATTTATTTCCTTAGTCTTTTGCCTCATTATAGCGTCTCGGAATAATTGCTAGTTTTCACAGCTGTTGCGAGGGCACTTTCAGTCAAACGACAATCGGCCCGTGATTGATAGAAACGGTTAGCAACTATTGAGACAAGTCGTATCAGTCTCATCGAACAAGCTCATCCGGACGTATGGCAGCACATTGTGGAGTTGAGAAGTAGACATGATGTACAATTTAGAAGGGTTTATAGAATATTCCTTCCTTTTCTCAATTCTTGTTTCAGTTTCTTACAGCTGCCCTCCAGGGTATTCCGGTACACCGTGCCAGGGTAAGCAATCAAATTCGTATATACTAGATCTATACTAGATCTGTCACTATATATTGTACTTTGTTTGTTAGAAAGATAATTACTTCGCACAAACGCGTCATCCCGCTATATAGTTTTACACATTATGAGGGCACTTTTCTGAACATAATAGTGAGGCAAAAGAATCGAACACTATGCTGGACTAATAGTGAAAAAACCTGGCTGATGGTTTGGGCCTTGGGGTCCCAACATGAAAGGGAACTTCTAAATTGGGTTCAGCATCAACACCATCAACCCTCTTGTGCTGCACCTAGGCGAGTTTTTTCATTAATAGAACAACCATTTCCTGATAGTCAAGCCAGAGCAATGGATGATTGCTTACATGGAGGCATTGCTCACGCTTGAATATAATAAGAAAATGTTACGTTTTTGTGTAAGCATTATGAGGCATAATAGGGATGCCTCCTCTTTGAGCATCGAGCAGTAGCATAACGGTGAAAAATATGAGCATAATGTGTAAAACCTTACTGGGCCACCGATTATAATTTACGTCCACGTATAGCTGGTACAATCTTGGCACTTAAAGCTACCTATATCGGACATTCGAAGTATGCATGGCTAAATACAGTTGGGCAGAGAAAACAAGTTGTACCTAATGTTGAAGTGATTTGACACCAATTCTGTTTCATAAAAAAAAAATTACTTGTTAAATTGTTTGCACGTTTCCGAAAATCTTTGTAATTTTTGAGGTTATACCTATCCAAATTTTAAGTTATTTTCTATATTGAGCCTCAAGTCAGAATATCAAACTGTAAGTCTTTACGACCGTTACTGTCTGGTTAAGTTCCTTTTTAACTCGTGAATTGCGTGTCGTAGGGGTGGATTCGATTATGTAAATTAGCGTTGGTCGATCATATGTTAAACTTCCCCGCTGTTTTCTAATCATGCATTTACAGGAAAATTAACGAGTTTGCTAACAGAGCACTTGGATTCATTTTCAAAGATTTCGATACTTATTAGGCTTTAATCTTCGGAAATTTTCAGAGAGGGATCGGAAAAAAAAATCGCTCATTCGCGAGTTTCTCACTTCTGATTTTTTTGGTAACATTTTTTTGTGTAAAATCGATGTGTAGATATTCAACCTCCTGTCCTGAGTTGTCCGGGACCAACCATAGAAACAAGCACTGACAAAGGAAAGCCAACAGCTAAAGTTATATGGAGCGTTCAAGTGACTGATAATTCAGTGCAAGTGGATCCAAATGCAGTGATCCGGATACGATCAAGTAACCAGTCCGGACAAGAGCTTCCTATTGGTGGTAATGTCGTAAAAGTCACTGCTACTGATGAGGCCGGGAATATGGCCACGTGCAGCTTTCACATTGTAGTAAGAGGTAACTACTACATAAAGGAGAATCTTTGTTTACAATATTTGCCTCATTAGCAGGAGTGACTACAGTTTCTGATGGAGCTACAAAATTATTAGTTCTGAATTTTGAAAGGGCACAGCACGATTAACTTTCCCAAGGACAGTTCACTCTGTTCGTGTGTGTCCTGTCCTTATCCTATTTCAGAAAAAATCTCCTATTTTCAATATATATATATATATATATATATATATATATATATACCCTATTTCAGACTTGAACGAAAGATCGATCGATAACCCATTTCAGACCTCTAAAATTAGTACACGGCGCTATTTGTGTAAACACTCTAAATTTGCCAATGTTGATGCGGAAAAAGTAGTTCCTTGTAAACCAAAATACCTAATGCTAGGGGAAAAATATGTCCTATTTTAGAACAAATTGTTCAAAATCTATACTATTTCTTTTTAGACAAAAACCGCTTGAAAAATCATGCCCTTTGTGGCCGCACAACTCTGTATAGACCATATAATGGAGTGACCCCCGTTCGTATCTGAGAGTACTAGGTATAATCATGTTATTTTTACTGAGATTGGCCATACATGACACATACATGTACGCGTCTCTCTTGTGTAATTAAGGAACGGATGTTTATGACGTCTCTTTTTTCCACTTGAGATTTGGAGCCTCCATCATGCAGCTTCTGCCCAGGAGACATAGTTAGAGAAGAATTAAAACGGCGAGTGAGAGTGAATTGGGAAAGGCCCATTTGTTCGGACAACTCGGGTCGTTGGCCCACGGTCCTCGCAAACAGACAGAGCGGTGACTTGTTTGATGTTCCAGGTTCATACCATATTCAGTATACACTCAACGACATGGCGGACAACGTGTACAGAAACTGCTCATTTAGGATAACATTGAAAGGTAACACGCTCTTAATTACTGACTCATCTATCTACTTTCTAGAATGTTGTATGAGTGAAGGATTCAAACATGCACTATGTAAGTAATCTTCACGGGTTCACTGCTACCAATGCCATACTCCGGTTAACGTTCCTGTAAAATATAACAGCTCTTCCCTAGGATGGGATAAATGGGTCAATTACCAGGCGTGAGACCTACATGGCTGAATGCTGGCCAAGTTCTCAGTGCCTGTTCATAGACCGAGAAGCAGTCGTTTACCCTGACTAGGCAAAAAGGACACCCAATAAAGAGCACTTACCTATTCTCTTGTGCTAAGCAGCGGGTATTCTCGGGAGCGTGATATTTGGTTCACTCGCGGTCCTGCAATCATGGACAAAAGTCTTGGGACAAATTTGTACTTTTCGCGCTTTTGCACACACGCCACTGAGAAGCGATTACAACTTCACCTGCTTAACCTCACCCCCCACCCCTCATACAATGTTGAAAACTACTACCTGCAATTTCTTCTGATTTTCAACATTGTATTGGCTGGGGAGGGGGAACAGTAACGCGTTTTCAAAAGGAAAGCAGCGCTTTTTTTTCAAACTTCAGTAGTAAAACACATACAATTCGTTAAATTACGGACTTTTGTCCACGATTGTAGCCAAAAAATAAACTAGTGCTTTTCATGTTATCTTTTTCAGCGTATTTCAATAAGTTGTCACTAAGTCGTCGCTTCCATGTCTTAATAGAATGTTAATTATTGCAAACGGGCCATGATAATCGTAACAATATGTTTTCAATGTTTTAACAGTGAAAACGTGCCCAATGTTTACTCCACCGCTGAACGGAGCCCTGGTTTGCAATTCAATCGACTATAATTCTGTATGTGCAGTTTTCTGCAAGACTGGAACCGACTTTGTCTACAATCCTCCTTTGTTGTACTACTGCTGGGGTGCAGAGTGGGGGATTTGGCCGCCTGGGGCCGGCCAGGTACCTCCCTGGCCTGATTGCTCTGGTAAGAACTCGGATACATCGAACTCATGGAATACATTATAGGCGATTTAGCACAAGGGAATCTTTTTAAGGGACTATTAAATTAGTTGTCGACCGGCAGATAGCTATTTGTTATCGACGACGAAATTTTATCGACAACTAATTGCGTCCGATGAAGCATTTCACACATTGGAGTGTTCATAGTCATGTCAGGTCAGCGAGACCTTGGGGACTAACGTTAACCACGCATGCTCAAAACACAATACGACAACTAAACCAGTGATTCCCAAACGCGGGAAAAACGCTAACAAACGTCGTTGCCGACAACTATTAGTTGTCGACAAAGCAGTTTCCCTTTTCGAAAAGGGAAAGTGCTTTTTGTCGATAACTAAAAATTTAGCGTTTAGTTGTTGACAACCCATCCCACCCAGTACGTTTTTTAGTTGTCGTTAACATTAGTTGTCTAACACTAAATGTCTAGTTTGTAGTGGCTGTTGGACTAAGCAGCGCTGAGTTTGCTTAGCAGGCGTATAACTTCGTGTAAAGCACACACAAAAAAGGCCTGCATTTGGTAGTCGGTATATTTCTTTTGCAGGCAGTGTCAGTCCCTCTTGGATTAAAAACGCTAACTTTCACTGGTACTACTATAATGGCGACGCACATGACCCCAGCGTTCAAGAAGTTATTAAGTCCCAGTTCCACGGTCTGCTAACGTCGCCCCAAATGGTTCCTTTCTCCTTTTGCCCGTACCCAACATGCAACAAGGATGAGTTTACGGTCTCTCCAGGAGTAACAGGTAATTATACCCGGCTTAACTAGCCTACTGTGTCTTCAATAGAGAACTCCTGTGATCGGATCTCCCATTATTCCTCACTTTCTTTGCAAAGAAAATCCGAAATGCACGAAGGACAGTCATCCGGTCTCTCCAGGGGTAATAGGTAATTATGTATTTAGTCATTATTGAAACCTAAAATTAGTAGAAATTTAGTTGCATATGATAACTTTTGTCACCCAGTCACTCTTTTCCATCTAAAACAACAAGGTCGATTTTCCCAGTAAAAAGATTGAGAATACGAACCCTTTTTAGAGACTTAGATTGCGCAGTGTTTCTCTGATGTCCTGTATAAAGCCTTGCATGTCCTAATCCTCCGTTTGAATAATTATATCATACCACGTTTCCCTACCTCCATGGGTAGTCTTGTTATCTAACCCTGTTGCAGGTCGGAAAACATGATGTTGACCTCGTGCAACCATTTTATCTATTTCATTAAAGCATCGATCGTTACGAAATCTGTTGACTACATTTCAAAGAACTAAAAGTACCAGAATACGTAAAATTTAATTTTAAGTGCTTTTTTTAAAAGTCACATGGACTAATTAACGATGCTTTGCTTTTCCGCAGGTTGAAGCTTAGCTTAAAGAAAGACTGAACTGAAACAAATATAAACGGGAGCCAGTTTTCGCTTGAAAAGTGATTCAATAAACTTAATGTGAGGGTGATACCATTTTGTCTATTCTTTTTGTGTTATAGAAAACCCTGATTTGGTCTGCAACAGAAATTATTTAAAACCTCGACGTCTTACTTTTGTTACAAAGCCTTACAGGTGTTACAAAGAGGGACGACTTTTTCAGAAAGTGGGCTGTACATAACAAAATTGAGAAAAGTCTACAACTCGTTGGACGTTTTAGTGTTCGTTACTTTTTTAGAGTCGGGATTGTCATCAGCAATTTGACTACCATTTTGAGTGATTAATTGTAATATCAACGTTTTTGAAAACATTTTAGTCGTAATTCATCAAGAATTCAGTAAAAATGTTAGGCCTCAGCCTCCAAAACAGAAGGACATTTTTATGTAAAAGAATATTATTACAACGCTAATTAAAACTGAATAACACACCCACGATCAATAGGCAGTTTATTCCGTTCAACACTTAATCTTGGCTGATACATTGTTGGTTTAACAACCACCTGAAATCGAAATGAGAATCTTTTAATTAGGTGAACGTTTTACACGTGTAAAGCTCGAATTTCAACGCTATTCCATGATTCCATGTTTGAGGATAGATGCGAAAGAATCTTGCTTTCACCCCGTTTTGCAACTCCCGGTGAACAGCGGAATAAGGATCTGAGTTCCCCATAAAGACCTGTAAAGAGAAACGCAAAACACAAGTAAAGAAACACCTACGGTAAAGGTGTCCACAAATCTGTTCTCGAGTGTTTTCCTCTAAGAAGTAGGTTGGCGCGATGACCAGTAGTTGGAGTGCTGGACTTCGGAAAGAGCGGTCCGGGTGCGAACCCTGGCCAGGGACATTGTGTCGCGTTCTTGGGCAGGATATTTTACTCTCACAGTGCCTCTCTCCACCCAGGCGTATAAATGGGTACTAGTGAANGACATTGTGTCGTGTTCTTGGGCAGGATATTTTACTCTCACAGTGCCTCTCTCCACCCAGGCGTATAAATGGGTACTAGTGAACTTAATGTTGGGGGTAACCCTGCGATGGACTAGTATTCCATCCAGGGGGGAGTAGAAATATTCCTAGTTGTTTCATGCTACAGTGACTAGAGATAAGTGCCGGCCCGATGGGCCACTAGGCTCGAACGCAAACAAATGATAAAATCCTCCGCCCCCATTCTTCACCTGGATGTAATACCTACGCCTTCCCCACCAAAAAAGCTGATCGACTTTTTGTAAATTCTGCCAGTATTTTTATGCCAGGTCTCTCTCGATAATGAGACGAGTAGTTTGGTTTACTCAGGGATTTTGCGGCCCCTCTCAAAACATTCCTGGATTGCCAAAAGCTGAAATAAATCTAGATTAGGATATCGATTTTCGCCATTTTGGTCTCAAATAGGGTATGGATTTTTCACTCTAGTCTTGAATTGGGTATGTCTTTTAGAAGAAGCTACTTTTTCATCATTATCGACTAGACCATTATCAAAAAGCCTTTTATAAAATATGTTTAGGGCAACTGTGCCAGCCGCAACGGTCAGAAATAGGGTGCTGAATTTTTGGTCGGGTCATAAATAGGGTAAGGGTTTTAAAAGCGAGCAGCACACCCCCACCCAATTTTTCTGGGAGTGCCCCTCCCCCCTCCTCCGAGGCTAAAAGCGCCTCGCCTTATTATGCCTGCTGAATTTCGAGAGGAAAACGGACTGCCATAGCAGTCTATTAGGCATTAAGACTCTCCTGGAAGTCGTTTCAGTAAGGCAGTCGAAACCTGGGTGAAAACCAAGGAAACTTATAACTAATAGTTTGTTAAGGATAAGCTCGGGTAGATATCTTTCCCAGTAAGTAGAGGTTAAAATATGGGGCCATATTCTCCTAAATTTGTGGTGGGAACGTGCGGTCCATTTCATTCCAAAATGTTATTATCCATACCTCATTTCAGTCAAGCGTGACCCAAAAATCTATTTCCTATTTATGGCCAAAACGGCTGAAAAACCGTACCCTTTGGGGCCGCACATACCTATATAACCCATATAAGGGAGTATCCCCCGGACCGGGCTTTAACCTAAAGGGAAACGGTCTCTCCTCATTTCGTTTTACTTGGCCATACCGCCCTTTTGCGTACGCGATGGCTAAACACTCGTCTAAGTGACCCTAAGAGAAAATGACGACTGCCAGCAGTTTAAATGTCTTGTCACGCGGGAAACCGATCTTTACCTTAACTGCACCACTCTCCTCGTACATTGTCCAGGTTTTGCCATCACCTGAAGAGCCAAGTTTGTATGTCTTTACGTAAAGCGTGAAGCGCTTTCCCTGAGTGGCGACCGATATAACCAATGTGGGAGTTCCAAGGTCTACCTGAACAGAGTATTTTTTAAAGATAAAACACAATAAGAAGTCTGGAAACAAGAACGCGCTGATATGAAGCTGTCACAAAATTCTTATGGCGGAAATGACTGCAGCATTCACGATAAAGGAACTTTAAACGCCAATGGAATAAAGGAAAGAGACGTTCCTAGCATGGTGAACAGAACAAGAAAACTAAAAAAGCAGAACCGGTTTGCTAAATATGCGATGCGGGGAATCTCATGTAACTGCTCAATTTCAAGTTTTAATCTTGCAAAACAGCTGTTGCTTCCCGTTGAATCAGAAATAGGCTGGGTCAGGATTTATAATTCGGACTAAAAATGTCACTTAGTGAATCGGAACTAATTAAATTAAATGCTGAACGTTAACCTTAGAGCGTCATAAGGTCTGAGGGTTTGGGTGTTGGTGTTGCAATTTCAGCTATCATCCGGTTAAATTTTCGGTGAATTCTAATTTCAGCTCATTTACCAGTTAAAACTTCAGCCCATTTTTTAGCTACCAGTGCAGTTAACTTTGCACGCCTCAGATCCCAGATATCGGCTTAAAACCGCCGGCCTCTCAGCTATCGGCTAAATCCCATCTACATCCTTTCATAAGACTAACGCGTCCTGTTTAAGTTGACCATTTAATACGCACTGGAGAGTTGGCCTGTGTAACAGGCGCTAGAGGTAGAAATGAGTGAGATTTGCGCGCGAGGTCGCGGGAGAATTACGTGCTAGTCACCAACACTCGCCTGCCTCTGGCCGCATTCTGGAGTGTTTTAAAATTTCTTTAGTCATTTGAAAGGTATCTGTTTCATTCTGTGCCTGAGCGTACCTGGATCCAAGGCTTCACGTCCCAAGGCTTCCCGTACCAGGCGTTGTTGTCACCACTGTTCAACCGCGCCTTCCATGGAGGATAGTTAAAATAATAGGAGCTTGCATTGAATGAGCTGTTTGCAATTCGTCCATCAGATATTCCAACTGGCTCTCCCTGTCCATACGATGCGCAGTGAACTAGATAATATACATGAGAAATGTGGACTGATAAGTATGGCGTGTTTCCTTTAAAGATAACATAGAACAAACTTTCAATTCGCTCGCAATTAATGTTTGCTGAAACGAAAGAAAGACACACAACTTCAGTTTTTATCTATATATCAGAGGAATTTTAAATTACACTTGGTAAAAACTTGTGATGAAATGGACTTGCTACAAAATCTTTGTTAATAAGAGCGAAAATTTCAGAAATTTCAAAATGTCATTTCACCTGTAAACACTTGCTGCAAAATCTTTGTCCACAAAAATGATTTTTTTCAGTTTTCAATTCAGCAAGTTCATTCGTAAACAAGGCTAAAATTGGAAAATGTGATGATTGAGAGGTTTTGGCGGATTTACAAGCTGAAGATAACAGTGAATCGGAGGAAGAGTGGTACAAATCAGTGAACAATTTCCAACGAGCCCGTAACCCAGAACATTTAAAATCTATGTTTGTTTTCTTACATAATATGTTATAAAATTTGTGTTTTTAATTTCGGCTTTCTCTTTGTTTCGCAAGTATCGATTTTCGCAATTTTCCCCCGAAATTTAGTAAGGATAAGGTAGGAGGTGTAGTGAGAGAAAAATATGACTACACCTTAAACATGCAATACAATGAAATCTACGCACAAGAAATACTCTTAGAATGATTCTTACCATGTTCCTGGTCGTAAAATATCTCAATGTTGCTGTCAGTACACAGAGAATTTTCTTTGCAAAAGGAAGGTTGACTGAAAGGTTCGTGTAATAAAGCTCTGAAGTTCCTCTTGATTTCCACTTGTGAAGCGAGGTTAGATGCATCTCCCTTGTAAAAATACTTTAGCAATCCCAAAACCTTTATCTTGGATGGAACACTTTGCTCTAAAATACAGGGTATTATAATTTACAAAATCAGCAATTCCAGTGGTTTTTGTGTCAAGAAATGCGTTGTTTTTAAAGTAGATAGTTAGATATATAGATATGGAAACTTCACCATCTTGTCAATATTTTATACATATAGCCTGGGAAAATACTATACTAATTTGGGGATACAAAATAAAGAGAAGAAAAGAAAGAAAGAAATTGAATCTCTGTCTACGAATGAGATTAAATTTTTAAATACAAAACTCTTGTCATGAAATTTCATATAAAAAGCCCTAGGCTGATTTCAGTCAAAGCTTTTCTAGCTAGTGAGCGTGTTTTGGATTGGAGGCACTTATTGTAGCAGAGCATTGTTTGGTCTTATTTTAAGTGGCGAAGGCGAGTATTTGAAAGTAAAGAGGTGATAAAGCTTCTCACAATTGTTGACGAAAAAACGTGATGCTTAATAGGGCTATTAGGGTTGGAGCGTGGCCTACCATATCAGGCCCCCCATATCAGACCCCAACATACAATACGAGACCCCGACCTACCATATCAGAGCCCAACGTACCATATCCGACCCCGATCATATCAGTCGGGTTTGACTGTTTTAAGTGTCGGGTTTAACTTTATGTTAACTGTTATGCTAAGTAATACAGTAATTCTTCAGTAGTGTACTGAAATTGTTATGAAATATGGCTATTACGAATAACAAACTGCAAGTTCACTGGAAGAGAAAGTCGCCATTGTTGCAAGTTCCTTTGTAGCCTATAGACTTCACAGCATCGCGTTTCTTATTACCGCATTCTGGTACTATTTTTTAGGAAATATATAAATTATAAATACTTTTAAAATATTTTTTTGAAGTAAGCATCCGTCCCAAAACGTTCTAAGATAATTATATGTATCACTTTGTTTCAAGTCACGTCCAGCGTCTTGAAATTTTTGTTGACCTCAAAATGCCTTTGTTTATTAGGAGACTTCGATGACAGATTGGTATCATGTCGATTGCTTCATGTAGTCACGCAATTCTCTCACTCGCATATTACTCGTTTCATGTACCGAAGCTTTCAGTTTGCAATAAGGTAGACCGACGAGAAGTGTATAACACGTTGATAAAGATCAAGCGTAAGGTGATTTTATAGCATTTCTTTATTGGGATATTTGTATAATTT